GAAAGAAAGAAAGAAAGAAAGAAAGAAAGAAAGAAAGAAAGAAAGAAAGAAAGAAAGAAAGAAAGAAAGAAAGAAAGAAAGAAAGAAAGAAAGAGAATTTTGCATGTTGTATGGGTCAAAGACCATGAGTCCATCAGTTGCTGACCATCAGTCAGGGTTAGGTTAGGGTTCAGTGAGACTATGCATAAAACTCCTTGGTTGGAGCTTTCTGATAGGCTGCTCCAGAAGGTTTCCTCTCTCCAAGGTCATAGCTGCCTTCATCTTTCTTCCTCATGCGGTAGACCAACAGGAGAATGAGGAAAATTGCAAACAGGAAGCCAATCACACCACCTGCAATAACAGCTGAGAGAAAGGCACAGGGTAAGAGTTGAAAAGACAAGACTTTTTATTTGTCATTGTGTTACTAGAGCCTAAAAAATTCCTGTAGTGCCCTTTACTTAAAATAAGTAAAAGGTTTCCTGATGCATCTCAATAATCCAGGTAGAAAATTAAAAAACAAAGTTAAATAGGTCCTATGGACAGGTATGACTCAGAACTCTGGTGACAATAGGGATAATCAGGGCCCAAAGCAGCCAAAGAGAAGACTATTCCTGTTGGGCCAGCAGCAAAACTACATTTAAACAATTAAAATAATTTGGTTTGTCTCGGACTGTCTACTTTCATCCATCAGAAATGTATCAGTGGCTCATCAGAGATGATCTATAAGGGTTTCATCAGGATAAATCTAGAATTCATCAGCAACTATTCAGTGATCCATGTGTTCGTAATATTTAGTGAGGAAGAGAACATCTATTTCTTTAAGTTTAGACCAGTCAGAAAAGCATTAAATTGAAAATAATCAATGGTTGTTCTTCATCCTTGTCTTTCGGCTGCTCCCCTTTAGGGGTGGCCACAGCAGATCATCTGCCTCCCTCTCATCCTATTCCCTGCCTCCTCTACTGTTACACCAACCATCTCCATGTCCTTTTACTACATCCATGAATCTTCTCTGCAGTCTTCCTCTTCTCCTTCTCCTTCTGCCTGGCAGCTCCATCTCCAACATCCTTTGTCCAATATGTTTACTGTCCCTCCTCAGCACAGGTCCAAACCATCTCAACCTGGCTTCTCTAGCTTTATCTCTAAACTGCTCCATCTTCACTGTCCTCTGATCTGCTCATTTTTCTGTCCCTAGACCACCGTCTCCTGCCTGCCCCTTGCCTGTTACCTACAATGAATCTGCCCCTTGGCTTTCTAACTCATTTCTGCTTTCCGGACACCGTCACCTGGATTCTGATTTGTTATTGGATTTCTGACTTCCTGGCTCTGACCTTGGAACCCTCTCTGGATTACCAAAACCAGTCTACTCCCTTTGTAGGATCCCTCTCGGATTCCCACCAACTGTGGATTCACCAGCTCAAACCCATCCACTGATTTAAGATCAGTAGAAATACTCTTCTTAAACAAATTCATCTCATCTGCACTTGACACTCACCAGTGTTCTGCTCCATAGAGTGGTCCGTCACGAGGGTCCAGAGGAGTACCAACAACCAGTGCTTTAATAAACCTGTTAAACTTGTTTTTGTTTCCAGTGTGTCTGAATCTAACACCCACATGTATCACAATTCCATGGTTTGGCATGGTGGCCTGAGGGCATCCTGAGGCTTCACTAGCTGTATGAAGTCATTAGAAAACTGAAGACGATCCTCTGGTTAAACGTCTGTTCATGGGGCTCTCCTGCTACAGAGGTTAGAGACCATGCACCTGGCAAATACCTGACACCAGAGTTCACTTCTCTCTATGCCAAGTAGAAAAGAGGGTTACACAAAGGAAACAAACAAGCAGGCAAATGAAAATTACTGTTCTCATTTTGATTTATCTTCCTTATTTTAAGGTTAGCTTACAATTAATTGATTTATTGTTTATTGGGATGGGCCTATTTGTAAGCACAGTTTTGATCTGTGCAGAAAGAAAGTTTGTCCATGGGGAGAAATTCTGAGTGAGGAAAAAAAAACAATTTTGAGAGCAAAGACATGAACTCCTGCACTCATAATGAAAATATAAGCTCTTGATAATTAGCAGGACATAGGCGCAAAGTAAAATCAAAGAAAATGTCTAAAATAACAAAATAAAAAAGTCACATGACTTGCACTTTTTGTCCTCCAGCTATATTTTATGAACAGTCAGTGATGCTGCAGTGTCTGAGTTTTTCTTTCTAAAGAACAGGAGGAAAAAAACCATTGAACACTGAAATAAGCTGCCATTATTGAGGAACTAAACCATGTGAAGCAACACAAAATGTTAACATCTTCAGAAAGCCTTCATGTTTTTTACAAGCAAACTAATCTGAGATGAGTAGATGATGCTCAGCTAAACACAAACCTGCCAACACCTCAGTCCTCTGGAACAAGGTTTCAGTCCGGACCTCAAGTGGCTGCTGATCAGACCCAGGAGCACTGGTTGTACTGGTCATCGGATTTTTCTGTAGGTCTTCTGTAACTAAAGCTGGAGCCTAGACGAAGAAAGACAAGAGAGGGGGTAGTAAGACTGTGGTGGGTAAGGGACCAGAGCAGTTATATCAAAAGGAAGCAGTCTGATAGCTCTAACAAATCATTTATTATAACATCCTAATTTCATCAAATCTGTTTAAATTCTATTCATATAGTGTTTATTCAAATTTAAAATTGATAAATGGAAAACAGATGCTGGTTGAATTTTCTGAAGGAAATTTCAATCTGACTATTAATAAATGTCTGATGGAATCATAACATGACAGCTTTCAGCAAGCATGGAAAACAAGAGCTGTAGTTCATCTTATTTCATGAGTCAAGAAAAAGAGTCTCAAATGTTTAAAGACAATTTTCTTCCAATTAGAGCCTTCCCTTGCCAACATGTTAGATCTCACAGCCCCTGAAAAAATAAAGAGATTATATTACCGTTTTGTGGGAAGTTTTGTTCTTAAACATTTGGATTCAGTTAAATGTTTAGTAAACTACCAACAATTTCCTTTTAGCTAGTGATTTTTTTCCTAAAAGTTACTGTAGAGAGGAGGAAACGGAGGGAGGACAGGAGAGAGCAAGATAAACCAGGTTAGGGTTGGGTTGGGTTAGGTTAAGTTAGGTTAGGTTAGGTTAGGGTTAGGTTAGGGTTAGGTTAGGTTAGGTTAGGTTAGGTTAGGTGCAAATGGAATTGCAATGAGCAAACCATACACAAAGTGTCAGTGACGTCCTTAATTACGTCAGAAATATTCATATTTCTGAACGGAAATTGAGTACAGCATGCATTTGTTTGATTTATTTGAAGATTATTTTGCAGAAGTTTAGTGCATTTATTTTGCTATACAAGAAGAGGAAAAAACAGGACTTATTGCATTAAATGGTGACTTTTGTTGGCATGCTTACTGTGGGATATAAGAGGACTTTATGTTTTTAGAGAGTAGTTGCAGTTTATTTAGTAAAAGAACTAGATACACAAGTTTCTCAAGCATTTTCCATTGTTTTGGTGAGGATATTGTACTCAACAAGTACATTGTTCTATAAAGGTTTTATAACTTTTTTCTATTAGATTCAGATTCTCTTCGTCATTCAACATAACACCAGAGATGCACTATAGAACTGAATTACAATGCATATTAGCTCACACAAAAAATACAGCTGATAAACTAGAAAAGAAATAAAAGGTATAATAGCAGAATACAATTGAGTAAAATTTGTTAAAATAGGATAAATATTAAATTAAATTAAATTAAATTAAATTAAATTAAATTAAATTAAATCCAAATCAAGATGAGGTGGAGCTAGTATGAATGTAAATAAGGAGCAAACATTTGAAATATGTGAAATGCATAAGAGTTTGTGTGCAAACCAATGAAGAAATGGGTTATTAGTCAATTATGGTTGATTTAGTCTGTAGAATAGCCCCTGGTTTCCCAGCTTTATGAAGACAACATGTTCTGTGGGTTTCTCAGTCTGCTCTGTTACTATGTTACTACATGAAATGTTATATGCTTTTGTGATAAAAGTTTGATGCTGTTGAGACTAACTCATTATGCTCAGTGTGTAGAAAATAAGGGTAATGTATGATTTTCAGATAAAGTTCAGGTTAGTCATGGGTTAACCTTATGAATTTAGTAAAATGCCCAAATGGCTGGGAAATGCATAGTTTTGAGTATATTTTAAAAAAGAATTCCAAGGGAAGATGTCCCCAGAAGCCCCTAGAAATGCTTCACTCCACAGCTGCTTGTAAACATGAATGTGTGCACTCACTGATATTAACAGATGTTGACAAAGTGCCCCTATAGGGCATTTCCTAGATTCATCCCTTGAAACAAGGACGATAATATTTAGAGCGATGCAATTCTTCAGCCTTTGAAACAAAGCTGAAATTTGTGAATCAAAGTGGACATGGAGACAAAGTGTCTGACATGAAGCTGAAACATCTGTCAGAAATGTCAAACTCAGTTCACTGAGCAGTAATACTCTTATAACTTACCAGTTGCTAATTTAAAATTCATGTGGAACTTTGGAAGCACTTATCTAAAATCTGGGGACTTCGTTGCTGCTCAATACAATATTAACTGATCAGCAGCAACTTATCTACAGACAGTCTAAAGTTACTAAATTATTCAGCAATATACTGAAGGAGTTTGGACAAATTTTCAGTCTAAAAGTTAACCCAACAGCTGGTTAATTTGTCTTCATCCAAAGTTAGAGAAGATTCTAAACTGAATTCAAAGATAAAACTACAACTTAAACCATCAGATCAGATGCATCAAAGGTTTTTGAATTAAAAAATATCTACCTGTTCTTGTCTCTTACCTCCGTTCTGAAGGGCTTTATGGGTGCGTTGTCTCTGGTCTTTCCTCCCACTGTGGCTGTGTCCATCTTCTCAGTGAAGTCTTTGGTAGAGTCCTGGGTGGGCTGAGCTGCTTTAGGCTCAATATAAATCTTACCGACAGTCACCGTTTCCTCCATCTCCTCACCCCCACCTGGAAGAACAAGTAAGTCAGGAAAAAGAGCTTTTCCAGAGAAAATAGCATCTAACTGTGTAGATATGATCAGGGTGTAATCTGAATAATATTTCTCTTTGTTGTTTTTGTTATGACTTCCTAATATATGTATTAAGATTTTATGGATTAGCTACCCTATCTTCACCAGAGTTCAGAGTTTTCAGGTAGGAAAAGTAACCACAGGGTCATATTTTCTGACTGTTTCCTGCTGCTCCTAACACCAGTCAGAGTGAAGAGGTGCTCCTCACCAAAAATGAGAGCTTTGAMGGTGCTATAGGCAAGAAGAGCAGAAAAATGAACAAACCTGCCATCAGAAATCTGTTTGATGAGCTAATCTTTGACAGGAAGAAGAGCAGGAAAACTTAGGAGATAAAACATGATCAAAATAATTAGAGGCCTAGCTTTCCTTGTAGGAATGCATATTGCCCTCCGCTTTTCATGTCAGTGTTGTAGACTAAACTCATTCTAAGCTTTTACGTCCCGGCTCGTGATGGACGCAACATAAATGACAAGACCCAAAATATAGTATAAAAAAGGTGATTTACAATTTATTTTTACAATTAAAGTGCAAAGCACCAAAAATAAAATACAACCAAGGAAGGAGGTTTTCCTCAAAATGAACTCAAATACAGCAGAACTGTTGTACAAAAATAAGTAAACAGACTAATCTGTGTCCGTGGGGGCAAAAACCCAAACAGAAAGACCTATGAGAAAACAAAACACAAAATCTGTAGTAACAAAATTAATAAACCAAAACTACTGGCTCAAACCAGAAACAGAGTTCTCAAAAACAATGTAGTCTTGACTACCAAAAGTTTTAAATAGCCACAACCAACAGTCGCAAACAAAGACAGGATAGTCAACCCAGTGGCATACTGCACCTAAAGCACAGCAGCCCTGACTGAAAGGTTGAGCTGGCTTTTATAAGCTCCCTCATGTGGTCTGGCTTCCTCATTGGCAGCTGCTGGTGAGTGGGTAATGTGTCCAAGGCGTGCTCCAGCCAATCATCTTTGGACAGGTAATCCTTGAAGGTCTTCTGGCAATCCACCAGCAGAGGGAGGCAGCCAATCAGCAAGCACCTGGAGCTGTGAACTTCTCATTTGTGACGAAGCCTTTAAAGAAACTCAGGAGAGGAAGTACAGGCCTGGGGCCGTAACATAAGCTGAGAAATAAATGGTTAAACTTTAAAATCTCCATCTTCATCTTCTTCCACTTATCCACAGTTGGGTCAAACCAATTTCAGCCACATGTACCTATGATCTTTCTTTCAGTCATGATCCATGCCTCATGACCATAGGTGAGGATTGGAACATAGATTAGTAAATCAAGAGCTTTGCCTTTCAACTCAGCTCTATCTTCACCATGACTAACCACAGCAGCACCCTCATTACAGAGGAAAAGGCCCCAATCTGTTGATCTATCCTGTTCATAAACAGTACAAACAGGGTGAAAGACAAGGGACAGCCCTGGCGGAGTCCAACCCCAATCAATATGGCATGATCTTTTAGGTCATATTCACACCTGATTGTCCAGTAGACTCGATTCGATTGGGAACCAAAATCGTAAGCTTTGTTTACATTTTCTGTTGGTTTGGTTCACATTCACACTGCACTTTGCACTGTTATATAAGCTGCACACTGATTACTATGTATTAAAATGTTATATCTTAAGTGTTTCCCAATTAAGATCTAATAAAATTTATACAATTATATGAGGGGTGTATTCACTTGTGACATACTGTACATTCAGTGATTACTTTCTGAAATATTCTTTAAAATGCATTCACTCGTTCATGTAGTATTTTGCTAACAGTACAGATGAACACATGCACACGRCATTTGGGTAACATACAGTATTTAAGTGGACATATGCTTTTAAGAACCTTTTTCACATTTAAATAATTTAGTTGAGGTCTAAAGTGAAACTGCAATGCTTTGGTCTGGGTTCCTCCTTGTGATAACATTACAGCCCCATCTTTTACCCCATTTCTGAGGTGTCTTAGATCAATTCATTTTGAAACTCTTCCTTTAAAAACCAATGAGGTGCTTCACACMCTGTCCCCCTCCAGCTTCCAGACTGATGCTCTCAAGTTTGATAGAGGGGTTTATGACCATCTGTGGCAAAGAAACATTTTATTTACAAATTAATTAAAAGATGTTAACAAGGGGAAACATGTTAATCCAGCCTTATATGTTGGAGCCAGAGTCAGACCCTGAGTCAGAGGAGAATGAAGACCACCTAACTGTAGCTGGTCAGTCCAGACTTTATACAATATGTCTGTTCCATTGCAAATACATAGTAGATGTAATAGTTGAGATAAACTTCATAGAAAATAAAAAAAACTGAACAGGTTGAAAAATATTACCCACACAGAAAATAAAGATATCTATGCAGCACTGGGTGAGACTAAATTAAACTTTTCTGCATTCATAGACTCCAAGTGCACGATAAAATACATTTACTGGCTAAAAAAGTGGATTTTGCATATGTCCTTTTAATACTCTATCTTTGCTTTCAGTGACAGGCAATAAAGGAAGTTGTGTAATTTTTACAGGTGTGTTTACCTGAGCCAGAGCCTGAGTTGAAGTCATCATCATCTTCAGGGTAGTAACCTCCTGATCCTATCTCATCCAGGTACAGGTCATCCACTCGAGAGGAAAGCCTACCTGTCTGTGCTATCTGCAAAGAAAAAAAAGAATTTTCAGTATTTAAAGTACATTCAGTTTCTGCCAAAAATCTATATATATATATATATAT